ATAACAAAATCATTTCTATTTATCAGGTCTTTGTGTCAACGGTCAAATTTTAATAGGGATGGGATACATCGATTTAAAGTAGGAAACACGTTCTGAAACTAGGTCTGGACAAATCATACGAATCGGTGCCTTTGTAATTTTCTCCGTTGTTCTACGTTGTCTTTATCCGTTCAATCGCTGGCCTAGTCGTTAAGGTGTGCCTCTCACAGGTTCAAGTGTTGTTAGGGGCAAGACCATGTTCGTCATATGACACCAGTACTGGTTGGTTCCAGGAAGCAGACTCGAAAGTGAATAATATAAGTTACAAGAATTGATTGTTTCGCAATCGAGATTAAATAAATATGGTTAAACCAAATCCGTTCAATGCATTTACATTCTGACCAAATTGCAAATCTCCCTCACTTACTGTGTTATTTTAAAAGGATTTATTATTTGACAATATTTAAAGCGCATACCCATATTAGTACCCACTTTGCGAAATCTACTAAAACGGTACCCTCTTCGCTCAGAAAACAAACCAGCGATTGGTAACAATCCAGAGAAAATTCATTGTAATGAGGAAAGAAGGTATGCATATGGAAAAGGTGTATACAATGTAAAACTATGATGCTTTTCTATATGTATTTTTATAGTGTGTTCATTTTTCTATTATTGCACATATTTCCTATATTGCACCTAAAACAAACTACATAAAATCAGCATATGTTGCCTCCCTAATCGTCCCGAAATATGTTTGCGGGCTTAATATATGTGATATGCAGGCTTCATAACTTCTGATCCCCTTTCAAAATCTAATTATTTATTTCCGCCCATTGTTTTCTCGTTTAGGGCACACGCATTCTTTTACTCGAGGACCATATGCCGGCTTTTTCATGGAATTGCACTAACGTGTTCACATTAAAGGTTCTATGATGACCGCCATAAACCAAACATCCCTCGAATGTTTCAAAAATTTTTAATTTTACCAGTTCAATGTTATAAATGTTGCATTCCGGCTTAAGCCGGGTGCTAGGGGGCGTGGACGGTAACTCTTGCATTTACCATTACCGTCTATGAACAGGCTCAATCAAACCGAGCCTGCAACAATTTTGCGTGTTAGGCTTTCTTTGAGGATTCTTATTTTTCTCTGTTTTAAATGAACCAATGACTTGATTATGTGTTGCATGTGTTATTTTATATTCAAATCATCTTCAGCTAAATTGCAAAAGTTAGTAACAAATAAAAATAAATGTCATGAAAACACTTTCGGTTTTGCAGCTATACGGCTACCTGTTTGTTTTTGAGTTTTAAATCATAGGTAACCTCTTTGAGTATGTACCGTTTGAGTAGATATAGCGAAGAGGGTACCAATATATGGATATGCAACATGTCTTACAAAACTTTGCATCGGTTTAAGTAGTTTTTAATCCTAATACATTGTACCTACCCTAGGTCCAGAAAAAACAACAACATTTGAGTTGCAGATTACTTTTATTTCTCCTGAAAAGCACTTATACATTGAAATGAAATAACAAGTATGAAAGAGTTATCTTTTATAAAAACATGTTAGAACAATCAGCAATTTTATTCAATCATTTATTTAAAGTTGATTAAAATAATATAATTTGAAAAAGTGAAATTTTTACTACATTAATTGACATTATTGATTGTTTCTTAAACACTTACAAAATTGCTTGATTACATTATGATTTTAACGATCAACTGAATAAATTTCTTTAAATGAATATTTTTGAGTTATCAAACACAGTTCCTTGAAACAGTAAAACTATTTATTAATAATGAAAACATTTAATTTACATCCAAAAACGATCTTATTTCAGATACTTTTCGTTGATCTTACAAGTTAGGCAATTAAATGAGGGAGGAATCAAGAGACGAAAGGCAAAAGGAAATACTGAACAACTGGTAGGAAAGGACAGGGAAAAAGTTTTTCAACAAATCAAAATGAAATTTTAGTAAAACACAAAAAAAATAACTTTTATAAAACAAATTCGTCCCCAATTGGGAAAATTTACGTATTCTTGTACAAAATTTAAAGGCCCTCAGTTTCTTTTCTAAAAAACCCAAAGCCAAAATTTTTTTTTTTCCCTTTCCCAAAAATGATTAAACCCACAAATTTCAAAAAATTTAATTACATCTTTCTTTTTAAAACTGAAATATGCAAACGTGTACTTGAACTATATTTTTAATGATAAAAGATGAAATATTTAAGTTTAAAGCTACATTAAATAAATATGTAAAAATATTAATTAATTATTTAATATCGGCCTAAAAATCAAACATTCTAGAGTTTCATTAATCTGTTTAACAGTATTGTTGTAAATCTTATCAAATATTGCTCATAAATTAGGATTTTAAACGGAAAACCCCACGGTAACACAAAAGTTCGTATACGAATTTTGACATGCAAATGAAGACTACAATCAGCTCGTGAATGCGCTACGTCACTGTTTTAAAGTTGTTACCATGAACACCGGGGTTCAGTGAAAATAATCATCTCGTAAAAATATTAAATTTGTATGAAAACATCCGTTACAATGCGGAAATATACCGTTAAATTATGACTGCTACTTATGTTTGTCGATTTAATATTGATGTACGGATGATCCGAAGACGGAGTATCTCATGCAAACAGAAATTGTACTTCCCATTTCGCCACAATGAGGTAACCCATTTGTTTGCTTATTAAACTCATTTTGGTTGTCTGGACACCAAAATAAGACCTGGAGTAGATATAAAACCCAATTTATTAATGATATGTCGCTATTTAGTTTTTAATGAAATCTATTAAATGTAGCTTTAATATATTAAATCTAATATGTTATTTCTGATTGATAGGACATTTTCCTGCTTTCCAAAAAATATATTGTAGGTAAACAAAATAAGATTTACAATTATTACATAAAACAAATTGGAGTGAAATCTATAGAGTCAGGTGTTTTTTTCAATCTTAAATAATATATACCAATTGTAAGGTAGAGAAAATTTCGTATTTTGAAATCTTACACCGTGAAAGTATCCTTGTAAATTATTAATACACGACTATGTAGTTTGATATTTGTTAATTTAGATGACATAAATTTCTGTTGCTAATGGCTTATATATTCTTACTCTCAATTAAAAAAATTATATTACATCACGCACACTTATAAAATTCTTCATCTTGTAAGTATATCTATAAAACAAAATAAATACACACACAAAAATCATGATAATTATAATGATGTAGGTAATCAGAGAACCAATTTCATTAAAGTTTATCAAAATAACATCATTTATTTATAATTATAACACAACATAAAGCTATTATTTCACATCACTAAAATACGATTTTGTGTATCTCCTATATCTGACTCAGTATTTCCCCTGTATGTGATTGTAATACAATTCAATATTACGCCTGTATACCTCAAAAACACAGTTCCATCAAAAATTGCCCTGTCCAGAAGGTCACTTAGTTTTAAGTCTGTATGGTTCTTTGGTCGCACAACATTTAATTTAAGAATCTAAATTCGTTTGTCAAAATGCCTCTACATTAAATGATTTATACTTTTTATTAAGAAACATATACAATACTATTTTGTATTTTTTATGAAAACAAATATTTTTGTAAAAAAAATGTTTATGAAAAGTATATGCTTGTAGTAGCTACATTCGCTTCTTTTGAGTTTTTTAAATCGTTTAAGTTTTCCTTTCTGTCGTCTAAATATTACTTAGTCAAATATGAGAATTTTTTAAGTTCCATGCAGTTCTAAAAACAAAATCAGGATCGTAACATTCCTGATAATACATATTTTGATATATATAGTTTAAACAAGTAAACTTGGTAGATGACGCACAAGACTACTAAACTGCATCTTTTCAGTATTTAGCAATTATAACTATGATAAGGCATGTCAGCAGATATATCTTACACACAATCATTTTATGTTTCTAATTAGATATTTTGCGAAATAAGAAGGATATTAAAGCTATATGTAAATAGTTTCTCTCTTGCTTACTCTAAAAGAATTTAAGTTAAAAATATTTGAATTTTCAAAGGTGTCGATTTAGTTTTGTCCCACTTAAAATGTGTAAGGTTACTTGATATATTATTATCTTATAACTTAATAACATGTATTTGTTTAACATCAAGTATAAATTTTATATAATCGTTTTGATTCAAAATTTTCAGATTTCATTTTTAAGTCTGTGCGTATAAGTCAAGAACAATTTTTGGAATACAGATCAAATTTGTTATCATTTTTTATAAGTATGGGATCAGCTGAATTCGCCATTTCGTATGTTATAATTCCTGTTGTACCATCCTAACTCTCACCTCATCTAGCCATATTTTCGAAAGATAAGCAGATAAAGGGTTACTGTTTACAGGCTTATTTTACATTCCTTCCACGCTGTTAACCGCCGCATCGGAGCCATGGTTAAAACCCGCCAATACCCTTTTGGCTTTCGAAATTTCGTATAATTGCCGGTCATTGTGTCGCATACTGAAATTTAAAATGATTTTATAAAATATATATTATTTATTTTGACTTAATGAGGGCAAATTTATAGAATAATTATAGCATTAATTAATAACTATAGTTTAAACTAAAATAAGAAAAATATGCACTTTCAGCAAGATATGCATAACAAAGAAAACTTCTATTTCCTGATATTTTTCGCATAAATTTAATATTAAATGAAATAAAATACATGCAAAAATGGTTTTTAAAAGAAAATAACCAAATTTAAGGATATAACCTGTTTTATTTCATACTAAAATTTAGTAAAATTTTCCCCCCCTCAATGCATAATTTTACAAATATTCTGGGAAGGGGCTTCATCTTATAACCGGCGAGAAATTAAATTGCCTTTTAAAACTTGCTTTAACTTTTTCAATTATTATTTGCATTTATTGTTTTTGAAAGGCAAAAAAAAAGAAAAAATTAAACTATATAATGACAATTACGTCCAATTTTTTAATGCTAATAGTAACTATAAATAAAATGCATGTAAACCCTTTGGTAAGTTATTAAAATTGTGTTGTTGTATTCAAATAGTTGGTGACAGAAACATCTTTCATCAATACACACACCTTCTGTTTCTATACAGTCTGTATTATTTGTGCAAGCCTTTCCAAGAGTCGGTGCTAGGAAAAGAAATAAAACTATGTTTAAAAATTAATTAGGCATATAACATAGATCAAGATATGCTGTAAGTTACATTATCCTTGTTTGGAATTCCACACACATGTTACACATTTCAGAACTTCAGATGGAAACTTTTTGACATACTTGAAATATAGCAATATAAAAACTTAAAAAAGATGAGAATATATATTTAATTCCCGAATAATATAGTCAACAATGGAATCTTGAAAGGTTATCTGATGCAGAAAACATTATTGCTTGTTCAGAATAAGCGTGACAAATGTAACTATTCGTTAAAAAGCCTCAAGTACCGTCTTAAAAAGAAATAATCATGTTTTTAGTAACATCTGCAAATGTTTTCATGCGGTGACGATACTTGAGCCTTTAATATGACTTGTTTGTGCCATTTGAGGATAGGTAACGTATTGTAATCAAGTAAGATTCTAGTATCGATAATGTTCACAACCTAAACAAGAACAATACGGGCAAAACTCAATAAAATGAAGTCAACTTTTCAGAAGGGTTTAAATGTCATTTGTAACAATTGCACCATTTACATCACCAAGGCGGTGATACAATGTTCAAGTAGGAATATTATAACCATATATGACTTACTAGGGCATGATTGCTCATTACACGGTTGTGTCTCCTCATCAATCCCATCCGCTTGATCACACGTCGATTCTCCGTTGCCCTCTATGCGAATGGAACACTCTCTCGATCTTATTTGAGTACCCGAATCACAACTTTCGCTGCATATGCTCCAAGGTGACCACGTGGCCCAAGTATAGTCAGCAGCTGCAAGCCAAAGTTAAATCATCAACTAAAGCTGATTGACTAGTATTTTTATTAAACTATTTTATTTATATGTAAGGTAATATTATACAATAATAAGAATTAAATCCAAGATTCTGACATCAAGCATTTTAATAAATATACATTCTTATCTCCATATCTTGTATTCTGAAACGTTTCTAAATATTTCCGCTTTGTTAATGTAAATAATGATACACACGTCATTGCTTTAACTCCATATTCACTTATTCTGTCTGTGATATATTCTTGCTAACTCGAGGCTAAATGATAATGTTAAATTCATAAACATATATCCTAGATAACAATAACACAAATTAATTTCTCAAATTTTGATTGGTCTAAACACTGTTATACGATGACGGTTATACCGTGAGTAATCAAATCAAATATCAACGTATTTCCACATCGTAGACGGTCAACTACATGTGTGCCTAAAATTTATTTTTGCGTTTGTTCGTTATGGTATATAAGATGTCATAACAATCAAAGTTAAAAGTAACACCTCTATGATGACTTTATATTTGAATTCCTTTTTTATTGCGCAGCTTACATCAAATGAGCCTCTGCACGTTTACTAAAACTAGTTTTGTATCGAAAATTGAGAAGATTGCTAAAATGTATGAGACAGCCTGGCACTTCTTCATCATCAATTTATATTGAAATATATATAATAACTGTAGATCTTGTATCGATATCAAATGATAAAAATAACATGCTAGCAGCATTTACCAAATGCCGGTTTCCTCGATATAAACGAATAGCATGCCTTTAATATTAGTTTGTTATTACTTTTTTCATACACTCATACATTATTGGTATTTAGAAACCGAAAATTAATATTAAACACCCAGCCTATTCTTAACGCACTTAAAAGTAAGACAAAATAATCCTTACGTACACATGCAAATATTTATGAAAATAAAGTTGATATAAAATATAAGCTAAATATTGTTTGCTATTTACACATTATAACAGATGCCGTATTTAGGCTCTTTCATAATTTGAAAGATCTCTTCAGAATTTCAAAATTCCAGTTTTATAACTGAAAGAAAAGTTTATTTAGCAGTGTCACCTGAATATTTTACGTTACTTACAACTAGATAAGAGGATTTTAAATTTTCCAATATTTAAATGTTTGTAAAAGGTTTGAATAAGAAAAATGTGAGTTACGAATCGACTTTCAAAAATTGTATCAAAATGTGCTTCTTCTTTTACAAATTTATGGAGAGTAATGCTAAAAATTTACAATTTCAAGAAAAATGGTCTTTTACAAATCAAAATGACTAAAGCATCTCACAATTTAGGGAATAACCCTGAATGAGTTCACACCGTGTCAAACTTTCCTCACATGTTTTACTTGCGTTTTTTGTGGGTTTTAAAATCATAGTGAGAGAAAAGAATCTTCAAAAAATTGCCGTTTCATATGAAAAGGATCATCTTATTTAACAAATGGTTACGAATTGCTGGGCGTCGATGTTCGGGTGGTTAAGGTTGTTGACTTTGAACCCTTTACTCCTCATCAATGTATATTCGAATCATGTTTAACTTAGAGACTTGGGATTATTTCATGTGAGGAAACTATCCAAATTTTATTTTAAAAAAAAACTTCAACTTTAGCCACATTTAACTCTTAGGTACACAATTTTCATTAAAAATCAATCCAATTAATACCACAGACAAGCAAATTCGGCTTGGATATACAATATAAAAGCATTCAATTACGATTGAATATTTGTAAAAATTTTCCTTAAACGAAAATACATTAAGAATATTTTTTTCACTAATTAGAATTGAAAAAAGAAGAGCTTGATATTTTAGTGGAAACATAAAATGAATAATCAAACAGATTCTGAAGTGTGTCTTTATAACTCTAAAATATAATCTCTCAATTATGATCATTAAATCTGATTAATGGATAAGGTCGTTATAACTGAACTAAGAAAATATGTCAGCAGTATTTACCTCTCCTCGTGTAATACAAAAACCCGTCGGCAATTTCCTGTTCTGAGTCTTCAGAATCTCTGCAGCCGTCGCATCTCCCTGTCTGTGGTTGGTAAAATATGTCAACACAGAACGACGACCCTTTGCAATACAAAGCACATTGAATATCGCTGTAAACTTTGTCCATACTAAAAACGCGTTTCGACTCAGGACACGTATAACCATCAAACACTCTATTCCTCCTGAAAGCAAAGAATTCTGATGAGTACAACAGGCAAACCGACATACCAAGTACGAAAAAGAAGAGAGCCGTGTTTCTCATGTTGCCTGTGCCTCACGATCCTGCAATTATCTTTTTATTTCATTTCTTTATATAATAACGAATATCGCGCATGCTCATTACTGCCAAAGTTTCGCCCAGAAACATACAAATTATAGTTTGGCATTAAAATATATTATGCACATTGCAATTACGTTAGAATGAAATATGAACCAATAAATAAATAAATAAAGCAAAAAATTAAACTGAAATGTGAAGTCTACTTAATTTTCTAATAAATGGTTGAAATTGAAAATATTTACCATGTCAATTTGTCTCCACGTCAATAAATATTGTAGTATTTGCATTTTAATTAAAATGCTATTAACATAAACGTCAATGTGGAGGCTGAGAAAATATACCCGTTATTATTTTTGAGATATGTATTTCCAGTAGTTGTATTGCGTTTAATTTGCTGAAGCATTGTTATCAATGGTCTCTTCAGATCTTTCTTGGTATAAAAGACATAGTGTAGGTAGTGAAACAAAAGAGAAAACATGGGTCACCCATACATAAAACATCGATGTTATCAAATAATATTTGACAAATTACTAAATGTCAACAAAACAACCTGTGACATACATGCACTTTGTGCTTTGAGATATAAGTTATGTTTTTTGAACATTAATATTAATTCATTTTGGAAACTTGAATCGCTTTAGAATCATAGTTTAAAGTTGAAGAAAAATTATTCTTGTCAAATTCTATATTTTTCTGATTGGATTTTGTAATTGCAATTATTTTTTACTATTTATAACATGTATTAATTTTATTACTATATGTTAACAATAAGGATCTGTGATCACATGTGTCGCCTCATGATAGCCATTGTATGTTGTAGCAATTGTGTAGCAGGAGACACAAAATCATTAACAGGGGAAAACGCGTACGTTACGCCATGAAATATGTTTATTATTGTTGATTAAAAATGTCCGGCTGATGATAGCGCATTGAAATAAATTTATACATATTTTTAATTTGTGTATAATTTATATTCTTATTTTGTAGCTGAATGACAAATTGCTGTTAAATCAAAATTGCGTTTAGTTAAAAGCGTTATTGCCCTTCGATCAAAAACGATTTTATTATTATATTTCGTTTATTACTTAAGTAACAAATGTGTGAAGAGATATCGATTTTGAGTGCGTTCTTATGGAATAATGCGCCACTGGAGTTGAAACATTAAACATTAAAACAGTAATATTGCAAATAGCCGTTTATATAGGCCATATTACCTGTCAGATATATTAATAACGACGCATTTATAATACAGCAAGCATAATCTTTGAGATTATAAAACTATATAAACGTCACGATTATCCAATGAAAAGCGACGTTATGAACGTGCAGTATTATAAACCCATATAGGCAGAACTTAAAATATTCAATATAGATTCTTTAATTTTGGAATGATGTTAGATGAATCATGTGAATTCGATTTATTTACTTATGTTGGGTTATTTCATAGGCAGATAACTTATCCTTATACTAAGTCTGAAAAATCTGTTTTTCTTTTGTAATGTTTTTTTTTTCAGTTTTTCAGTGCAGGTTTTTACAAAAAGTAATAGATAGAAAACTTGTCCTCAAATAACACTTTTGCTGTAACGATTGATTTTATACAAATTGGTGTTCTCAATATGATAATATAACACAGTGACCTACAAAAACTAAGACTGTTCACCACGTAACATGTTCTGTTAATCGTTACAAGTTTCTTATATGTTTGTTTGACAAAGACATTGTTGAACCTGAAACTTACTGTCCTTTTATTTCCCAGGTTGATCGTTGACTATTCTATGATAATACCGTCCAAAGGAATTTTCAATGGGAGTAAAATTGAAGCCGAACTCGGACATCAGTTTGTATGTATAATTATATTATTTTTAACACCAAATAAACATGTTTCTCAGATGTCAAAGTGAGAAAATGGTTGTACTCAATTGAGGAGTGCGTTGTGTCAAGTTAAACCATTTATATAGTCATAACTGGGATTGCTGCACCGCACTCTGTTGCAATCGAATCCAACGTTAACGCCATCATTGTTTTTAACATTTATTTTATAAACAGACAATAACAATTATCAAAATATGGTTGTTTTGTTCAAGTATCATACATACGATGCGATGCCTGTGTATTTAGGGGTCGTTCTGCACAATATCTTTTGCGTGTTTGAACCAAAATTCAGCAAAAGTGGTGTCCCGTCGTCAAATTTTACAGAAATGTTTGCATAAATGGCAATGAATTGCTCCATATGCGATAGACCCACCGCTACTGCGAAAGCTATGACCAGTGTGATACGGCTACGCCGAAAAAGAGTAGAAAGTTTCATAAAGTGCAACAAATATTTCAATAAAACAATGAAAAGAATCCGTATTTGATATATGAACATACAATGTACAATAAATAGCAAATTTTAAGGATCATGTGCACATTATAGATACACCGACTGCCGGTTACAGACCGAAAGTAAAGTTCTGATAACGATGGTAATGAGACTCTGCCGAGTTTTCGCAAAACAGTTTATTTTGCAAAGAAATTAAGAAAAACTGATTTTCATTAAGCACTTTATTCTTGTAGTACCGTATGAATTTACACGGTCATTCATTACAGCAAAATGAAGTCATTCTTAGAACTCAAATTATTCATAAAAATCTGGAAACAAAGTGATCGATCGAAAGCATTAATCACAAAACAAAATTACTTGAAACTTGCAGACTCAGTTTGATTGAGTCTGTACATGAGGGACAATGAATAAGTGCAACATCCCTGACGCCCTCTAGCACAAGCTGGAGTGGTACTCAATTCTCAACAAATAATAGTGTTGGCATCAATGATCCCGAAAGACCAGATAAATTTAACAACACTGGAGTGAAATACGGAAAAACTTTTTACAGCTGCCACACGGCACTTGACATCTGCTGTTATAAAGTATTATTAAGTATAAAAATCTGGAAATAAAATGATTCATCGGAAGCAATAATCTCAACAAAATAAAAGGCGCACAGGAATGGCGTCATTTAAAGCACGCGTCTTGTCTTTTCTAGCTCCAGTGTAAACAGTAAATAATCCTGTCTAGTATGCAAGAACATACATAAAAATTATAATTTTTAAAACACATATGCAAACGTCTTTGTCATTTTCAGTAGCATATTAAACGCTAGAGCCATTATCAATTTAGACATTATCAATTTAGACACTATCAATTTAGACTTCACTTTTCTTTCCTTTTTCATCATTATTGTCATCATAATCACCATCACAATAATCATCATGACCATCATAATCATAATTACCATATGATTATTGTCATTTACAACAACAGCATTGCCACAATCAGCATCAGTAATCACCATCATCATCACCATCACCATCATCATCATCATCATCAATATAAGTAATAGAAAGAGTGCGTAGCCTCTCCCCCCCCCCCCCCCCCCCCCCCCCCCAAAAAAAAAAATAAATAAAAATAAGATTGCCTAGTGTTTTGATGCTTTTTCCATTTTGTATCATAGGCAAAAATAAAAACACTTCCCCTGTCGTCATAATATTGAACGCCAGAAAAAAAGTAACTTATGAACGAGCATCTTAATATGAATTGACTTTTCTATCGTTATCATTTTCCCTCTCGCCATGTTATAAGTAAAACGAGACAGTGGGTGAGGGTAACTACCTGTTCTCCAGTTACTGTGTATATATTGGTATACAATTTAACTCTGACACGTTTTAAATAGTTAAGTATCCAAAGTATGATACAATCATTATGATTGCATGTTTTGTATCTTCATAAAATTTCTTATACATGATAATCGGTCCTGAATGAATAATGTTGTCAGACTAAAGCTCTAGTCACATTTTTCATTAAACAGGACGATTTCCACCTTCAGATTTTCCTGTGAATCAATTTTGTATCCCGTTATATAACGTCCAGGATTTACTCAACTGGTGACATCTAATCATCATTCCTATCATAATAACACTGTGTTTTCTTGATTGTGGTTGAAATTTTGATTTTGCTTTGTATAATGTGGGAAATATTTAGCCTCGTCCAATATGGATCTTAACATTTGTTCAAATATCCTCAAGATTTTCTCACAATTATATTAGATAATAAAGTAACACATACCTTCTTGTTATTTATCGGTACTCCGTCTTGGATGGAAGCACAATATCACAGAAAATCTTCACCATTTCACGTTCCAGACATTGATTACACACGTTTAATGTAAATATATCTCGTCATGCAGGGCTATCGATTGGCATATTAGAATTGTCCTCCTATGCTATAATATGTGTTATTCTTCGTTATTTTATAAAGACGTATAGTTATTGTAATACAATGTATTTGGAATCTCCTTACAGTCATGCTTAGTCGATAGTATTGGAAGGAAACGAACTATGTTTTATTCTGTAAAAAAATAAGGCATTTGGAGATATGTTTGTTCATTTCTCGTTATGCCATTGCAGTATTTTGTTTATTTTACAGATTCATTTGCCTTTGATTAGATAATGTCTTGAGATTATAATCATGTATTAATGCATATATATCTTGCCTTTTTTATTTCACAATACAGTATTTTTCCCATTTTGAGAGAACTTTGCTATTTTGATAACGATATGAATTTGAAGGATTCCCCCCCATTAGACTGATGTCTCAACGCCGTTTTCATACATGTGATGGTATTTAACCATCAGGTAGGTGCTATTGCATTTGACTTTTTGCTGCTATTCTCCGATAAACAATCAATTTGTAAAGTATGGTGGCTGATTTTTGCCATTCCTGTTTTCGCCCCGCGACCCCGCCAAGCGAAAGGTCTACAAGTTACAATGGCGCGGCCACAGGACGAATACACGCTTATAAGCGGTGGCGCAGGGCGTAGTTAAATTAATAAAATGGCGAGGGCGCGAAGCGAAAACACGCTAATAAGCGCTCCCGATAATGAGCGCGTTTCCGCTCCGCAACCCCGCCATTTTTACTTGCTAATAATCGACTTTTCGCTTGGCTGGGGTCGTTTGACAAAAATACGATAATTAGTGCGGGCGCGGGGCTAAGCTTTGTTTGTTAAAA